TTGCCCCCTTGCCAAGCAGTAGCCAGTGGGCGGGGCTTTTTTTTAAAGCACTCGGAGCTGGGGCCAGGCAGGGCAGCCATGGGGGAGACTGAGGGAGTGGTCGGGGGGGCACTTGGGGGTCTGAGGGAGCAGGCAGGGGATAGGGCCTGGTGGGGGTCTCCCCATGGTCCCCTTCCCTCTCCTCTAACCCGCCTCCCCTGGCCCCTACTTATCAGCTCTGAGTCCGGGTCCAGCTCCCTGCTGCAGTGGACAGGGACTGCCCAAATTACCAAAGCTCTCCGAATCTTTTCCAAATCAGTTCGGAGAGCTTCAAATCAATTTGGACCTTTTAACTGGTTCCCTGATTTGATTTGGATTTGGAGATTCAGCCACTGAAGCAGGCCAAATTTCCACTGAATCAAATCAGCACCTGAAGCTTCACACAGCCCTACTAAGGGCTATCTGTCTATCCTGTAGACCTTGCTGGTTTTGTAGAACTGATCTAACAAACAATTCCAAAGTTCTAGCATGAACACAAACTCTAATTCCTTCATTTTCTCTTGAAGAATGCCAGCTTGTCTCCTTGTATCACCTTTTTCACTGTACTCAGTATGAACATGAGTAAGAGCATCAATAATTGAATTATAAACTTTCAGCTACGGCTGAAGTAGCCTTTGCATGTGCTTCCCACTTAATGTCAGAGAGATGTTTTTGTACTGTGAAATCAGGACCCAAAAATTATTTGAGCACTGCCCAGTGTTTTGTAGAGACAGAGAAGAATGTGTATTGCACAACACATTTGTTGCACAACAGCAAAAAAATTTACTGCGTCTAGGCAGCAATCAACAGCAGCTTGGCCAACAAGATTCAGTGGATGTCCAGCACATGGAATATATATAGCATATTTATTTTTATTTTTCCCCTGCCAGCCCCCAACACCTGTCTACTTCCCCAGCCCTCCCCCATGGCTGCCCCACCTACTCCGGCTCCCAGTACTTTAAAAAAAAAAAAAAAGCCCTGGTGCTGCTGCTGGGCAGGGGGGCGACCCCCCTGCCCCCCACTGCATGGGGGGGCTCTGCTGCGAGCCCCCTCATTTTCCTCCCTCCTCCCAACACACACACTCCTCCAGCCCCCCCCCCCCCCCCCCCCCCATGGCTGCCCAGCTGTGGCCAGCTCCCTTTAAGAAAAAATTATCAAGAAAAGCCCCAAGACTCACTGCTCCTGCAGCAGCTTTGGGGCTTCAGGGACTTGTGCAGAGCCCCCCACATGGCATGGGGAAATGGGGGGCAGCTGGAATCGCCTCCCGCAACAGCAGGAGCAGTGAGTCTGGGGTTTTTTTCTTAAAGGGCCAGAGCTGGCCCGGGCAGGGCACCCGTGGTGGGGCTGGGGAACTGAGGTGGGGAGCTCATGCAGAGGTCCCCATGCAGTGTGCCCCAGTGGGGGGCAGCAGGGATTGCACCCCCTGCCCGGCAGCACCCGCTGAGCTGGGGCTTTTTTTTTAACAAGTGCTGGGAGCTGGGGCTGGCGGGACAGCCATTGCCAGGCTAGGAGAGTGGGCGGGGGATGGGCCTGGCCTGGCTGATTCAGAGCTTTGGCAGCAGCTGAATCTCCAAATCAGATTCAGCTGAATCAAACTAGGACAGTGATTCAAATCACTGTCCCCCAAATCGGCCAAATCTGAAGTGAATACTAGCTGCTTCTCACAGGTCTACAGAGTAGGGTTTGCTGAGGCAGGTCTGAAGGGCTGCACAGGGGCACGCAAAGTATGGTCACAAGGTTGACCTGAAGGGATTCACATTGGCTGGCCCCAAAAGAGAGTGATAACATTAGTGAGAGGGCATAAATGGGAGGCCCTAGTATGAGAGTGTGAGTGAAAGCCCCAGGGAGGGGGTGTAATGGCCAAGGTAAGTCTATGGATGACTGAGGCTGTATTTGGGCCAGAGGCCAAGTGGTATGGCTCAACAAGCAAGCCAGGGGAAGTAATACTAGGTAGTTTGGGTCAGCGGCCTAGTGATTTGGATGCCATCTGCGAGATATGGGACACTGTATAAGGAAGGTTGGAGCCATGTATATCATCCTAGGCATCAGGGCATTAAATCAGCAGTCTCCCATAATTTTTACATCATTTTTTAAACAGCAAGACATGGCAGGTCAGACAAGGCAGAATGCCCTAGAGAGGTGGGCGGGCCAAAAATGAGACCCAGCCCCGAGATGGCCCACTGTCACGCAACTTGAATACTATGTCCAGTTCTGTTACCATAATTCAGAAAAGGATAGAGAAGAACTAGAGAAGGTGCAGAGAAGGGCAACAATGATGATTAGCTTCCATATAAGGAGAGGCTAAACAGCCTAGACCTATTCAATTTACAAAAAAACACTTGAGGGCAGACATGATAAGGGTCTACAAAACACTAAATGTTGAAGAGACTTTAAAACTAACAAAAGGAAGTTCTTTTTCACACAGTGTGTAATTAAAGGGTGGAACTCATTGCCACCAGCTGCTGTGGATGCTTACAGTTTAGCCAGATTCAACAAGGGATTGAACAGATTCTTGGAGGAAAGGTGTGTTGGTAGCTACTGATCACGGAAGTCAGGGGCACAACCTCTGAATCAGAACTTTCTAGACCTTAAATGCTGGAGAGAGGAACAGTGGGAAAAACCCTGGTCATACGCAGTTCACTTTCCCTTTCAGCATCCACTCTCTACTGCTGTGACACAGGAGACTGGACAAGAGGGACCTAGGATCTGACCCAGTAAGTGGTTGTTCTTATGTTCTCATGTTCTCCCCTCAAAGGACACAAAATAAAAAGCCTTTGCCCCTTCAGTTCAGACCTCAAAATATCTCCAGCTTCTCCCTGAAACAATACACTTTTGAAGCCTCTCACTAAGGCCCCTTTTTAAATGCTCCCAGATGGGGATGTGCCCAAAAGACCCAATTCCCCCTACCTACACCTCATTGCCAAGCAGAGCTAGCAATCCCTTCTGGGTCCTGAAAACCTCTTATCATCCTGTTACAGCATTCAAGCACACTCACCGTTGACTCTTCAGCACTGTCATCCCCTTCAGAACCACTCACAAGAGTAATGATAGTAACTGCAGTACAGAAAAAGACACATCAGGGTCTGACTTGTGTCAGAGGGAGTGGGCACCCCCTCTATAAGAACAGAGAAACGCTATGGTAAATGCAAGGAGGTTAAGTTAATGTACACAGCTACAAGCTGTATATTCACACTGTTACTTATTTCTTGATGAATTGTCTGTATATGCATAACCTGGTGTCTTCTACTATTGCAAAATTGAAAAAGCACAAAATTCCATCTATACATTTCAAGTGGAAAAAAACTATCTTAACCCAACAAATACATTGTCCAGCCAAAACTGACAATGAATCAGAGCCTTGTTGTAAGGGGGTGGAGCTGGTTAGAAGTTGGCCTGCCCACCTGTTTGCAGGCTGTCTGCCTATCTCTCCTGCCATGCCTTGATAATACATTATTATGGTGTTAATTAGGTGGGAGGCTGCCTATTTTTTTGCACTCCAATGCCAGGGGGTGCTATCTACAGGTCCAAAACCTTCCCTATACTGCAGCCCAAGCCTTGCAGATGGCATCTCAGTTCTTAACATCTCCAGCCCCATAGTGGGCCCCATAACCCTCTAGTCTAGACCACAACTAGATCCCTCTTAATCAGTGGCCTACTCTGCCCTCATTCTGGACTCCCTGCACTTTTGCCCCTCTTGGGTGTGCCCCCCCAGGACCTTTAGCCATGCAGGCCCTGGCCTCACCTCCATGGCCAGCTGGGACCCCAGGCCCTTTGCTCTGGGCATCCCTCACGGTGAGTCCCTGACCCTTCTGTTCCTGGCCCCACCACTGACCAGTTGAGGGGGCCTCGAGTCAGGCTTCTGGGCAACTAGCCCACACTCTTACATGGGTCATCCTTCTCAGGCCCTACTACAGGGTTACCCACCCAGTTGTGGGAGCTGGGGTTATTAAGGCACCCTGACCCACCTTTCACTGGGGTGGTAACTGGCCTGGCATTTCCTGGGGGCTGTCCCAAGAAACAGCCCCACCAGGCCACCCATCCCTGGCAGGGTACAGTTTTAGGTCATGCCCAGTACCAGGAGCCTCCTCCAGACCCATAGCCCCAGCCCATAAACGTGCAAGCTGTTCCTGAGCCTCAGCTCTGCTGGCTGGTGTCGCTCTCACAGCTGCCAGCAGCAAACCCTATATATATCCTGAGTCTCAAAATGGCCACCATACTCGAGCACCTGGCTGCTGCCTACTCCAGCCCTTAAAGTGGAAGGCACCAACAGTGCCCTGCCACACTTGTAAAGAAATGGGAGTGTGTCAGGTGTGTGTGTGTAGGTGGAGGGACCAGGGAGTTCCTGGATTTAGTGAGTGCTCTGTGTGTGGTGTATATATCCTCCAGCAGGTGAGACTGAAGCAGAAGTACTGCATCCAGTTCTGGGCACCGCACTTTAACAAGGACGTGGATAAGCTTGAAAGAGTCCAAAGAAGAGCCACCCAAATGACCATAGTCTTAAAAGGCAAGCCATAGAAGGAAAGGCTGAGGGATCTGGGACTCTTCAGCCTGAGGAAAATAAGGCTGAGGGGGGACCTGGTAACAGTTTACCACCACACTGAGGGATTACACCAAGGGCTCAGTGAGCAACTGTTCACCAGAGCACCCAAGGGGAAAACCAGGAGTAATGTCCACAAACACCTGAAAGATTGATTCAGGCTCAACATTAGGAAAAACTTCTTCATAGTCAGGGTGCCCAAACAGTGGAATAAGCTCCCTTCAGAGGTGGTGCAATCACCTACCCTGGAGGAGACTAGACAGTCACCTTGCTGGGGTCACCTGAGCCCCAGTTATCTTCCTGCTTGGTGCAGGGGGCTGGACCCAATGGTCTTCTGAGGTCCCTTCCGGCCTTACAATCTATGGATATTTATATGAATAGGGCCTGGCACATATGAGAGAGGGCCCTTGCTATCACAGGAGACCACTGTGGCTGAGAAGAGAACAGCCTTTAATAGCAAATTGAATATTTATATGAGCTTCGAGTCTGTCTGCCTCATACCTCATTCTTACATTATGAGAATGGGTGAGTAGTAGCACTGCATCCACCTCCTATAGCCTTCCCATTATCAGAGCTGACACAGGGGAGTGTAAGACAAAAAGAAAATACATGTGGAGTTTGTGTCATGGTTAATCAGGACATTACCTTGCTTTTCTGAAGGGCATACAGGACATATCTGGAATCAAGGGGGGTGTGTGTGTGTGTGTGTGTGTGTGTGTAGGAACGGGGAACTTTGTGCGTCTGGCTCTGTCCTAGTCAACAACAAACAAATAAAAAGACCTCACTGTGGAGGCCACCATTATATCTCTATAGTTAAAATTATCCTGCCAATGGTTTATGCTGTAGAGTTCACCTAGGACAGCTATCACGCAGTGTATAAATATGAATGGTGGTCACTTCAATACACTTTATAGGGCATAGGTTCAGCATTATGGACAATCACATTTTGTTCCCTTTTGGAACAAAGTCACACATTATGGAGCATCTGCCCTTTTACAAAATCAGAAGAGACACTGAATTTCCTACCAGATGTACGTGTCACTGAGTCCACATCTAGTTCAGGAATCCCCTTGTAGTTCCATTGCTACAGAACCACCAACTGAAACCCTTGCAAGACTCTGACAATCTCTGCCTACCTTCTTGAGGGATGTTATTTTCCAGGGGTTCTGTCAAGTCAACTTGCTTCACTGCACCAGCACTGTTAGCCATCCAGCCAGATCCATTTCCTGTTGAGGAACTGGTCCCTGGTTGTTCCAGGATATTCTGGTTGCGCTTTCTGGCCCATTTATACCATTTGCCATCATCTGCTTTAGTCCTGATAAACTTTGCAGGGGACGGTGAGATTTCTGTGTCTTGGCCTCCTCTTCTCTTTGTGATGGAAGGTGAGAAATGGATCTGAACAATGAAAGAGGATCCTTAGCAGCGCATAGCATTCTTCCTGAGAACAATCCCTGCATGTCTGTCCCTAGCCCTGGAGACAAGGGCAGGAGCACAGTGAACTGGTGTTGCTCCATTGGCCTCTACCAAGCAGAGAATGATGCAGTATGGAATCATACCCTCTGCATGGTCAGGGCTTGTCTTCATGGGCAACTTACAGCAGTATGAATAGTTGCACCAGAGTAAAAGATGTGAAGATGCATGTAAGTGGCAAATTGTTTCGGAGATCATATTGTTGCTCAGATCAGGATTATTTCTATATGGGACCTGGCTGTGGTGTTTGTGTGGATGCGTCTGTATTTTGGCAGTCATACAGATAGCTTCCTATGCTTCTTTGTGCCATGCCCTGATGGGCCACCCTGTTTAGCTGGGTGACCTCTGTTGCTCTGGGATAACGGTGACTGGATGCAATCTGCCTGTTTGAATCCCTATGTACAGCCAGGTGCTGCCTCTTGGTGCTCATTTTTAATATGAGTCAACCTACCTATCAAGCATAATTAAATAGTTTATGGGTTGCCACTTTGCAGGTTGTGGGAGGTCAACCTAATGGAGAACCGCTCATGAACCTCTACACTGTGCTGATGGTAGCCTGTGGCATGTAGGCTCATGGTAGCCTATTGCCCATATGTCCCTATTTCTCAGTGATGTTCCTACATCTGAACTTGATGGTGGGGTGAAAGATAGATTGGTTGGGCATGAAGAGTTCTGAGGGCAAGGCTCTGGTACCCTGCCTCATCCTGGGGAGCTCTTACTTACATAAGTAGGCCCACTGGCTCAAGTGCCTACCAGCAAAAAGAGTGTTTTTTTCATGGGGAAGGGATGGGTGCAGGAGAGCAAGGGGACCATGAATTAAAATAATCTGCGTTCAAATAAGACTGAGCCAGTAGAGTGTATAAAAATGGGACCTCCTTTCCAGCAAATGATTCTTGTTGGCATCTGGCCTTGAATTCCTGTGAGAAGTGCCAGGAAAGTTGCATCCCCCCACCCTCGCACATTATTTTGAGATGCCCATGACAGCCCCAGTACAAAAGCAAGCCTCACCTTCTTGGAACTCTTTTGGGATCTCGTAGGGGCCACTTCTAGAAAGGACAAAAAAAAAACAGAAGTGAGAAATGGATTGAAGGACTGGGAACAACAGCAGCTGTCTTATAACACCCTGCTTTTATATCATTCCTTTCCT